CACTATTTGTTCAAACTAATTTTGTGTTTTTCAAGTATTGGTGTTTGTAGGGATTTCGATGGATTGGTTACAGGTTTTCATCATTAGCTGACATCGGTTAGAGAACCATTGGAAAACCTGCAGGGAGTACTGGACAGCTGCTTCCTGTAAATTTGTGCTCTTAGTTGCTAAATTTAGACACATATGCTCAGTCTCTGTTAACATGTTGGCTCTAAGTACAGGCGTATCAACGATTTCTAAGGATTAACATGGTGTTATTGAGTGAGTGGTGATTAATAATAGAGTATAGTATGCTGATTTCACTCTGGCTTTTGAAATGAAAGGTGCTTGATTCGAAAGGCAACAGCATCTATCACTGAGGATTGCAACCCCGTTCTCCTGACGAGTCCCAAATAGGACGAAATAAGAATTCTGAATTCCACCGCTGGTCAACATTCACCAAACAACAATGCGTCGTACGATTTCCGTTACTGTAATTCGATAGATTGACTAAAGTTAAGAGGCTATTAACGTTTTAAGAAATTAATCTGAAACTGTCATGTTTTTACATCTATTTCATTGAAATCTTATTTCTACCGAGAAACGTTCTCAAGAAATATTGATGAAAACAATGACTGGAGTAACTGTCATATTTCCACATAGTTCCGTAAAATTTTGATGCGTTTGCTTTGGTCAGCGATATAAACAGGCTTATCAAGCGAATCTGTATACACTACACATTGTATCTATGTTACATGTAGGTTATATTATTATTATTGTTTCCTTTAGTTCTTATAGGAAAATAGGGCTTCAGCCACTCACGTCGCCGTTGCCTTCGGTTCTCTGACGACGTTTTCACATGGTTCCACGTCTGCCCACATCCCTTCATCTCCTCTTCACATGACCTCCTCTACTCCATGTCACCCTCACACTGACGACCAACTCGCCGCTTCCCGTTCGGTTCGGGTTCCCCCGAGAGAGAGCCTGGCGTGTCATGTCACTAGATGGGTTTTTTCTCAGAGTATAGCTAATCCACCTGCATTTCTTCCCTCATTTTTGTTGCACAATTGGTTCCTGTTGGGTTGGTTCGCTCATTGCCAGAGATCCCTCCTCGTTGCTGATCTTTTCTGGCCAGCCGTCTGATCTTCAGTGGTATTGAGGGAAAACAGCTGTTTTTTGAACGTCTGTAGTTTGTTCGAAGTGCTCTTCATTTAGGTTAGGATATAGATATTTGTAGCCTTGAACATCCCAATACAAAGTTATCTAAGTCAGCCTTGCTAATAATTGACAGTCTTTCTATTCTCCTCCAAATTTACTGTCTGTTTAAATCGAAATGAGAAGGCATAATTGAGTGAATCGTCCTACAGTGGTATTTAATATTATACTTATGTGGCAGTTATTCACATGACATTCAGGTGAAACTTTTTAGTTACAGAAATGAAGACTCATATGACAACCTGATTTCTCAGGTCGCTTATTACAACATGATTTTAACTGTCTGGAGATTGACTATTGGTTTTTTATCGCCTCTTTCTGCCTTCAGATATCACCTATCACACTAATATTAGTCTAGCAGACTGATGTTAACTGAGTTAGTCCTACCAGCATATAAGCACTGCTATGGAAACTCTAAAGAATAGCAGCCCAAACCGAAGCTACCTAGCGAGCGGACAAATGACCTTGACAACGACAATTTTGACCAATCAGACGCCACTATAGAAACAGCGCATAATTCGAATAAGTCGTTTATATAAAAGTAATGCAATGTTAAAAAATAGTTACAAAGGACAACGTTCTCGTATATGTTGCAAAAAAACCTGCCAATTTCTCATAGGAGTCTTGATACTCATGTTTAACCAAGTCCTGGAGATAAACTCATCGAGATAACTGTATATCATTGCATTTCTTGATCCATTCACAGATCTGATACGTTTTTTAGGTGACTCCAGAAACTTTCGATGAAATTAATGTAAGTTCCATCAAAAGGATTGAGAAAACCATTTGTATGGTTGACCACTTGATGAATATAGCCCAGATTCGATAACTGACTGTAACTACTCTATTCATCTGTATGAATAGTCGTCCCAGGCAGCACTAAGCGCTGGATAATAGGCAATAATACACTTGCACTACGATTAGGGATCGCCTCAATATATCCTTTCTGGAAACTGGTGTCATATATTCCCAATAGCCATTGCTCATTCACACTCAATCTCCCTCAAATATATTTCCTTTCGACATTCCTATCAGTCCGTTCTCCAAACAGTAATCAAAAACAAGATCTGGAGCGAATTTGCAACGCAGAAGGTGTAAAGCACCCATAAATACGTCTGGAAAATATGGAGTCACCTGATTGGTTGCTCAAGGTCATTTATCCATTCGCTAGGTAGTTTCGGTTTGGGCTACTATTCTTTAGAGTTGCCCACTGCTTTTACTAATATTATTATTATTTCGAATCACTGGAAAACATATGAGGACTTCTACACTTAATCTAAAAATAGGTGAGCTTGAGCAGAACTTTAGGGAGCTGCATACCTGTGCATGTATCCGTGTGTTTCTGTCGGAGGAATGTTCTTGTATGCCTACAACTTCAGTGATTTCAGTGATTTCACTTACGTAATAAGTGTAAGTACCATTACCCCTAAATCACCACTATTATTATTATCATTATTATTATCACTTAATACATTTATTCCCTCTTATAAATCTGAATAAAGCATGAACAACAGTGATTTGTGTAGAATCATATGGTATCATCATTGCTTATTTCGTTGACTTCTCAT